GGGGGGGGGGGGGGGGGGAAGGAGAAACGACCCTGTGTGAGCAGAGTAGACGACACACACGGGGGTGCGGTGCATGTGTGTGCGTGTGTGTTCCGTCCACCCAGCCACCTACCCATTCTTTTGCTGGCCGACCACACCCCACACCCCACACCCCACACCCCACACCATGCATCTTGGTTGATGACGGCTGGCTGCCCTCTCGCTCTCGCTCTCTCTCGTGCGTGTTCCATTGTGTGATGTGCTGATTGCCGTAGGACGATTTTTGGATTCTCGTTTGGGACATGCCACGCCACACCACACATTGCTTATTTGAAGGTTCCGTTCACCATCTCGGCGTATATTTCGCCACAAAACCATCATCACCACATCAGACAGACAATGCGGGACACATGACATGGTTGGCTGCGTCAGTGAGCGTCATGTCTGTCTGTCTGTCTGTCTCCAATGGCATGGAATGGAGTGACGCAAAAACCAGCAGAGAGAGCCACGAGAAGGTCTTAGCAAGAAGGCAGACAGACAGACAGACACCCCCCACCCAGTCCCATTGATCCCATCAATCACCCTTTGGCCATCCATCCATCCATCCATCCGTCCATGGGACATCAGAAGAGCCAGCCAAGCCAAGCCAGCTGACCAACAGCAAAACGCCCATCACATCGAGCCGAGCCGGTTTGAGCCAGGCCAATTAAACCAACCGCAGGAACGCACTCGTCCACCCACACGCACACACGCAGCTGGCGAGCTACCTTCAAACACGCGGTCACGTCCCCGTGACACTTGTGTGTCATCGGATCGGTGTCCATCCATCCATCCATCCACCATAGTCAGTCCTCGTGTCTCATCAGTTGGCCCGCTCAGCCAGGACATCCGTCATGAAGCTGTCCATCAATTCGACCCCCTGCTGCTGCTGATCGGCGTCACAGATGCGCTCCGTCTTGAAGGGAGGCTGGTAGCCGTAAGCACCAAACTGCAGCACAGCACACAGACCAAGGGTGTGGTGTCGGGCAATGTGTGTGTGGGTGGTCGGCTGGGTGGTCGGCTTGCCTGGTAGTGCGTGCCGTCGGTGATGTACTCGTCTCTCAGGTTGCCCTCAGGTATCACCGTCTTCATGCTCGCCTCTATCCGACTCACCACTCGGTCCTGCAACCAACACACACAAACATCCATCCATCCAGCTGTCCAACCATCGACTCGACCTCACTGCACTCACAGGGTCTTCAGGCTGCAGGACGTTGGCAAAGTCCCGTGTGCCGACCACAGTGAGGAACCTGAGCGCTTCCGCCCCCTTGTCGCCATCCTCGGCCAGCTGGGTGAAGTTGCTGAACCCAAACACCCCCGACAGGATGATGCCGCCGAGCAATCGTGGCGGTTCGGCCCCAGGGATGGCGAGGGCCGTGTTGGCCTCACAGAAGTCTCCCACTGACACGCCACCAGCTGAGTGCCTGCACAGACACACACACACGCGCAGCGAGGGGGATGAGTCACCGTGCGATGCGGCCGTCGGTCTGATCATGATGAGCATTTGCTTACTCACCCGACGGCGAACCAGTCGTCGACGGTTTCGCCGAGCTCCTTCAGCACTATGGTGCCCGCCTCGTTGGCGTTCAGTGGAGACAGGAGAATGGGGTGGTAAGGACTGACGATGAAGTATCCCAGACGAGCAACACGCCTGCCACACACACACACACACACACACAGAGAGAGAGAGAGAGAGAGATGGGGAGAGAGAGAGGGGGAGAGGGGG